CTAGATGTCCACAACGTGTCTGCTGTATGTTGACTTAATAAGCCAATATGCTTATTACAGTGCTCCTGGGTAGAGATGCAAAGTATAATGGGTTTTTCTTGCTTTGATGGGAGTTTAATTGGATTGTGTTTATTCTGTAGTCACTACAAGTCACTGTTATTTAACAAGATCATATATTTGGGTCATTAGCGAACTGCATTCTACAGATGTTTGATATAACTCACCAAATAGAGAATGTAAATGTTTGATAAGGGATCCAGTGGTTTTAGAACTCAACAAACATGGGAATTTTCCCAACTTGAAAGCAGTTACAGATCGAAAGTGACAACTACAACTAGAAACTGTAATAATGGATGTATTGGAAAGATAACATCAGCATTCAACATATTTAGTATATTATAGAGGCCTGTTTGACAGATGCATGCAAAGATTTGAGTGAGCAGCTTTTAAAATTATCATTCACTCTATTCGTAGATTTTTAAAGAACTTCCTCATCAGTTTGTACATAGTTTTGCATATAATTTGTCATTGTAGGGTTAGGTCCTCCAAAACAACTGAGAGACTCTCCAGAAGTTCTTCTATGAATTTGAGTTGTTTCATTGTTTTCCCATCTCTTTGTGTAATCCAGGACTGACTTTGTAATGCTGAGATCAGTGCTCTGTGGGGACCATGCAGTCTGTCACAGGACTCCTTGTTCTTTTTGTAGCTGCAGATTTTTCTTTCTCTTTTTTTTTTTAGGTGGATTCTGGCCACTGGAACTTTTTCATAGCTGTTATAACTCTTAAAAATAAGTCATCTCTGTCGATGTCTGCATTGCAGGAACTAGAACCTTTCAGAGTTCTTAAAGCCCTGCATTTTGGGGTCTTTGACATACATGTGTGGTGGAAAAATCCAAGTAAGCAACAAAAAGGGGGGAAATGGAAGTCATAAAGCATATGTCAGATTTTCTAGTTTGGGCATCCACCCACAGTGAAGCAATGTAGTATGTGTAGATGAAAATTGGCAGCTTTTTCAGTGTACTATATATGCCACTAAGTTAAAGACAACAGCTCAACTTTAATGCTAAAAAGAGACTTTTTTTGTATTTAATATGCCAGTTTTTCAGCGATAGTTTGGAAGGATATCGATTTGTTAGAGATACAGTATGACAGTCCAGTCCAGTGTTTAAGTAAATATTTTGTAATTGTTGTATTAAACAGTCATAGTTGTGGGTGGCCTTATGACTTCTGTTGTGGCGCCATAACCACAATGCACTCCATTACTGTGAGAGTAAAACATAAAGTGTTTATAAATTATAGATTGCCTTTTAAGGTGAGGGTAAGTCTCCAGGAGATTAATGTTCATGAGTACTGTGTCCTCTGAAGTAGCAACTGTGAGAGAAAGGTGGCATATATGAACCTGCAGTGAGTGAAAAATGCCAGTATTTGCTGACCTGCACACAGGTTTTGGTAAGGTGGAGAAGCGTGTTTGTGAGTGTGTGTATAGAGAAAAAAAAGGCTCAAGCACATGGAGGACAGGCAGCTTGGGTTACAGGTCGTCTGATATCTACACACACCCACACCACAGCGCACAGTCCTGCACGTACACACTGCAAGCTCAGCAAGATTCAGGTGACTTAGCTTTTCAGCGAATGTGTGTTTGAGTGTCACTTTCAGTGAAGCAGTCCTCTCTTTGTGCAATGTAGGTCAGCTGAGCCTGCTCTCTCGATCCCTCTCCACGTCTCCCATGCATCTTAAGCTTTTCCTCACTCTCATACCCTCCCTCTGCTCTCCAGTCTTTCTCACCTCCCTGCCTCTGTTTATCCCTTTCTCGACCTTCCTCGGTCTCTTCCCTCATTAACTGTTGTTGTAGCCATGCTGTTTTCTTTTTTCTTTCTTTAAGATACCAAAGTTTCCCACAGTGGATGCGAGAAGGGGATTTACAGTGGGAATTACTCTTTTGTTCTACTTTGAGTTCTTTTTCTTTCTCTTTTCCACTATGAACACTTCTTTCTGGCTTTTAGTAACACTGCAGGATAAAATGGAAGCAACTGGGAGGATTATGAAGTTAGCATTGGTGTCTCTGCTCCCGCAGCACAGCTGTGATTTCTAGTTATATTTGTATATTTAAATGCTTTATAATTTCCCACATTACCTTTAATGTGACATGATAGTACACTTTTCCAGCAGAAGTTGTTCAGTAGCTGCTATGCTATTGTTGTCATGACTTGTTTACCTGATTTTTGTCTAAGGTTAACTATTATTTTATGTTGCACATATAAGACTTCTCTTGGAGTACAACCATTTTCATGTGTCTGAATCATAGCATGAGAAGATCTGAGCTGCATGTACCGACATTGTCCGTGTTTGAGGTGACAGCTGATACGAAATGTCTCTCATCTTTGAACACTCAGGCATATAACGTTCCCTTTACCTTAGAGTCTTAAGTTGAGCAAGAGCTTGTTGAGTTGTTTTTACGTAGTAGATTCGGATTCCTTTATTGTCAGTCTGTCAGTACATCACAGATGCATTGCTGAATGAAGTTATAAGTACAGAAGGGAAGAAAAACCACCAAAAACATCACAATAAAGACAGAATGAGGTTAAGATTATAGGGCAACTGACTATTACACATGAACAGTAAAATAAGATAAATAAAAATAGTATTGCACGGTGTATACAAACTCTTTAAGACTGAGGTGAGGTCAGCTATTGGATTGATGTGCATTATTGTCTCTGTTTTTGTATTTTGTGACTAAACAGTAGCGTGACTGAGGTTAGGTTTGCTGAAGAGACATGTCAAAGATTTATTGCAAAAGGATTCCAAGAGTGTACAAGTGAATACTAATGTAGAAAATAGGGAGCATAAAACCATTAAATGGAAGAATGATAATTGAGAATGGTTATGTAGTAGGAGAGGTGGACAGGCTGAGGCAAGAGAGTCAAGTGGAGGTGGAGTGACAGAGAGGAGAAAAAGAGGGAGATACAGAGAGTGCATCTCAGGGCTAAAAGCTCAGCGATCAACATTCCCTCTCAGCACACATCTGAATCATGCCGGCTCGATTAAACAGATAAAGTATATACTTGAATAAGCGAGTGTGCGCTGTGTACCATGAAACAAAGGCTGCTGTGTGCTCCGTGCGAATGTGAATATGCATGTGTGTTTACTCCTACGCCTGTTTCTGCAGCTGTGTTGTAGTAGCATTACAACACGTCTTAAATTACAGGAATCTGCTTGAGCTGCATGATGTCCCTCGCTCTAGAGAACACACATTTACACACATACTGTGTGTGGGGGAATTAGCTAAGAAGGCAGTGGAAGCCTCCAAAGTTTGGTTGAAAAACTACATTTTTGGGGTTTTTTTTTTAGCAACTTTAGAGTAGGACTCAAATTGAGAACCACTAACTGTTAAAATTCAATGCAGTATTTTATTTGATGATATTGCCAAACCAGCTAAATAAATGCGGCTGTAACCTGTTTTTAATCAGTTTCCTCAGTCCCGTTTGACACGTTTTAGTGAATGGATGGATGGTCCACATCTTCCATCCATCTTCTTCATTAAAGACGCTTTTAGAAAAAGAAAAGTATTTTCAGATGGTAATCATCTGGTTCCTTATTGGGCAAAAATAGTGAAAACCTTTACTTTTATTTTGTCAAGTCCATCCATTTTCTTAACTGCATTTCCAGTTAGGGGATTGTGGGGTGCCACAACCTGTCCCAACTGTCATAGGGCCAAAGCCAGGCTACGCTCCGGACAGACTCTCAGTCCATCACAAGGCTTTTTTCAGTCTGTAGCATCACTTAGGCGTTGATATAATTTGCTGTTTTACTGCAGAAATGGACGGTTTTCTAAATGTGTAACTGTGCAGGCGGTCACAGAAACCAGGGACGGTACAAACTCACTGACTCTACAAAGAACAAATAAATTGGTGAGCCGTGCAGCAGTGTGTTAGTGAACGATATGTGAGCTACCTGTGCGTGTGCGTGTCTGTGTGTGTGTCTGTATGTGAAGTTGTGCTGTGCTTCAAGAAAAAAAACATGTGTCAGCATAATTGAATATACACAGGTGTCAGTGTTTGAGTAAGCAAGCGGTTCATGCTCGGTGTTGTGTGTGTGTGTGTGTGTGTGTGTGTGTGTGTGTGTGTGTGTGTGTGTGTGTGTGTGTGTGTGTGTGTGTGTGTG